TGCTGTACTGCTGTTGATGATGAGCTTAATGATGTTCTCATTTTGTTAACTGCTGGCCACCGGATTCCCACCGGATTCATACCCACCTTGACTATATTAACATCTGATAAAGATGGCGCGCATCCATTCAAGACTGTATTAGTGCCGCTTAAAGCGGGACAGGTTACAAACCAGAAGATTGGACACTAATAAAATGATAGTTGTGCATATAACAATAATACCTACATGTTAATGGATGATTGCTCTGTGTCCAAGTTTGCTCCGGTGCAATCGCGTACGACGGTGGTGGCGAACCGTTTGCACGTGGATGAACTCGTGCAAGTCAGTTATCCGGTCGTCTAGTTGTGTGTGGTGCCTTTTGACGCGACATAAGTATGTATGTTTTGTGACTGGGTGCGGTGTAAAATACTTCATCAATCACCCATCGTTTTCACGCGCTTGGGCTTGTGCCGCGTGCTAATGGATAGAGGTCAAATGTTTTGACGTCTGCATGTCCACAAGAAACATGAGTGTTTTGGGAAGTAGTAATCTCATCTAACAACCATGTCAGTTTTGGTTCTGCGTTTGAATTCCGGTCATCTATTGTTTCGCGCATGCATTTCTCTCGCTCTTCCCGCTTCAAAGAAGGGCCTAACTTTTAAGATCCTCACTTATAACTGAAAATTGCAGTCATCCGTTCAGCAACGTTACGACCGACTGATCCACCAATTGACGTTAACGGGTGCGGTTGCTGAGCCGAATATCGACTGAAATTATTCAAAGCATCCCATAGTGAACACTGTTTTACACGTGCTGTGCGCCCAAATTGAGCCATCCCACCTGTGAATGGATGCTGAGGCATCGATCTGGCTTTCATCGTGTCTGTAACACCTTGAAACGACTACCGACAGAGACTTCAGAATGACCAGAAACGGTGATGGGTGGCAAGGGCCCATGAGATAGAGAAAGCCAGCGCCATTGAGAACAGCTCATCTAAAACACGGGTTCAAGAAATCCTTCGTTAACGAGATAACAGCTGGTAGAGATGAAGAGTTGATCTATTCCCAGCCTCCTAGACTAGCCCATTGGATGGATAGTTTTGAAGAGCATTTCAGCAGGCCTGGTGTGGCACTGCGGCTCGCCAAATGCCATGAGCCCATGTGGGACTTTGATGTCACACACTTCGGATGGAATTCGACATGAATGCGCGGTGTTGAAACAAAACACGTCCGACCGTTACTGAAACATGAAGGTGACTGTTAACTGAGCTTGCTTCGACACGATTTGGGACACTGAAGGAGTGCCTTCAAACTGGCGACTGTCAAGTGTCATGCCCATCTCTAAAAAAGGCCCATCCGCTTTGTGCGAAAATCCCAAGCATTTACCTTACTTCCATCACATCTTTCTCACATCTATCATACTGCGACAGATCGTGCAAACCGAATGAGGTCCAGACTGGCTTCTAGTCTGGTCGTAGTCGCATTGACTGTACATTTATTGTTCGTCAAATGTTAGGGGAAACACACTTTCAGGCGACCAACCATGGTGGTTTTACCTGACTTAAAAGCCACCTTTCACTCTGTTAGTCTCGCCAGCTTGTGACACTGCTTATCCGTTGCTTGAGTACCTGGCTAAATATTCTGAAATCTCTCTACCGCTATTCCCGAAGCCCGATAAATGTATTCGAAAAACAGTCTTTTTGACAAAGGGCATCCGTCACCGTCTTCTCTTCTCCTTTTCTGTTCACCAAAGTGCTCATAAGCGACTGTCATCTCAGTTCCTTCTGGAGTTAGCTTCTGACAGTGAACGAGATCACTATCCTTGGCTCAGACTCATCCACTATACTTGCGCTACGGAAGTTGCAAACGCGCAATGCTGCTTGCTTCGCATTCTGAGAGTGCTTTAGGGTCGACATGTCGCCGATTCTAGCCATCTACAAACAGTCAGTGCAAGTCACTCGAAATCCCTTGTGATTCGAGTCATAGTTTTCGAAAATGTCGATAACTCTTTCTAGCTTCAAATAGCTTGATCGAAACGCACAGTTCAGTTCCATGGGATGCCGTTCTTACCTTATCTGCAGCATTGACGTCGTCTGACTACTGGTCCCGGAATTGGTCGTGAGCGTTGGTGGATGGCCCGTGAAACGGAGATGACAATGCGTTATTGTGACTGCCAGAGTCCTGTTCCGACTTGTTCAGTACGCGGGTCCAAAAAGGCCTGTGAATGAAACTTGCTGAGATTGATCAACAGGTGATTCACCCATAGTCACGTCAATTAGGAATTTCACTCTATTCTTACTGTGCGGCAATACCTATGTCCATGTGACGACTTACTGGAAGCTATCCCCGTTCGCTGTGACAGGTGGAGGGTTTCATCTTTTTCAATTGTGTGGTTGTAGTTATCATTATCGACTTTCCCCCGCCTCTTTCTACTTTCTCTAAGATCGAGCTTCTGTCCGTTAACCGATCTTAAACTCGCAATATGCTGTCTACAGCCAAGTCGGACCCCGCTACCATGCAAGTGCTACTGAATAAGCGGGCACATGGCACTTCTTCGTGTTTTCTGAGTGCAAACTACTTTGTTCTTTGGTAAGTGCAAGAGCACCCTCATACTCATTGATGTTTCACTGTTTCGTGCACCTCTGGTGACATCGACATCTACGGTGTGTTGCTGAATTTCTCCGACAACAAGCGGGATTCCTTATTTCTAGACGCTTCTCCGTTGGAAGTTTCTAATTGTCTACTCGGTAGGAGCTGGCAGCCTTACGTTTTCCTACATAATGTTCTCGGGGCCACCGCATCAGTTATTGGCCTGCTTATCGGATATGACGCGATCAGGTGACCCAGCTATCAGTTCTATTGCACCACATTTATTGAATTACCGCTCTATATACACAATCTTAGGTCGCAATCCGCATCAGTGCGCTCGAATTTCGAGACCTTGGGGCCAGCACCTTTTCCGCGAGCTGGGATGAACCTTGTAGTAGGACGAACTTTATCCGCCCTCCAACATTCAACCTGTTCGATGCTGGAAGTCCCGTGTGCACTGGGCAAATGCTATTTAGTACCGCTAGCAAGATCATCAAAATTCGCGGAACACCCCACCACTTTACAGTCATATCATCGCTGTTGACATTAGTCAACTGAAAGTATCGCTGTTGTTCTCTGATCGTTCTTAGCGCATGAGGGGCATGATTTGGTGTCCTCTGTCTAGCAATGCATAAACAGACATATACACTATAGCGAACGCGGTGCCCTCCCCCCGAATCATCTAAGCAGTACTCACCCGGTCTACTGTAAACCGCTTGCTTATGTATTGGTAGTACTGTCATATCAATCTTGGCTAAGGACTCAAAGATTGTGCAGCGGCCCGTTTCGTCGCCTTTGTGGCGACTTACTATTGGCCTACCAGATTTTGTGGAACCCCATCATGTCCGCCACCGTCTACTGCTACTCAGCTCAAGTTGGCCTCGCAATAGAATGTTCGCGAAACTTTTTCTCTCTTCGTGTTTACCAGCCGTTTAGTATCTTTCCAAGTTACATCGTTTCCGCTCCCACTTTACCTATGTTTAAAAACAGCCTGACATTGCCCTAATCCATCTATATTATGAGTTATGACCGGTGTGTCTCGCTAGACAAAATAATGTGACGAACACTGCGCAACCAGCACTAACCTACATAATCGAGTTTGGCTCTTTTCTGCATGACTCTGTGATGAGTCCACCAAAACGACTCCTTTTATCATTTTGGTTTCTTTTCACCATGTTCGATTCTCATTCTGGTCATCTTACGGACTTATTAAGCATCTGCTTTTTTTCTCCGTAATATACCATTGTTCTGTCACGTTCTGCATCTTATCCAGTTAATAAAAGCTTGCACGCAAACTTGGCTTTCGGTTGCATTGAATCCATTTTTGTTCCACGACCAACTTGTGCTGTTGTATATTGATGCATGATACATTCGTCTCTACAGTCATTTCGAGCACTAGAGTACGTTCCCGCTTCTTCATTTGGATAAGAGAGACTTGTGTCGTAAGTCCACTGATGTATTGCGTGCTTACGCATTCTTTCTATCGCACCGTATTACTTGATAAGTGTACGGCTTACGAGCAGTTTTTCGATTCCTTCGTATCCTCCACTCGTTTCGTATTTTTTTGTTTTCCCTTTTTACCTCCATTTTTCTCCAATCACCACGCATATTCTCTCCGTTTCTCCCCGCCACAGGTCATCCTGGCGTTCATTTTATGCGTTGCATCATGCTCTACCGCGATTTGCCGACGCGATGTCAATGCGGTCATTGGTTCAAGTTGGTGGATATGGAGCGCTTTGAACGAGAACGAGAAAAACATTGGCAGCAGGTGAAAGATAAACCGGAAAACATCAAGTTGCAAATCGAATTCGATGAGGTTGAAAAAGAACTGGGCGTAATGATCCAACAGGGTCATGGCCTTAATAACAACACTCCAGGTCTGACGGACTTCCTGGAACGTATGTCTAACCTGTGGGAGAGGTACAAAGTTTTGTACAGAGAGATTCGCCTCCGTATGGAGATACCCTGATTAGCTGTGCATCGCCGTGGGGGATAAGCTCATTGTTTCGCCCATCTTGTTTCTCATTTAGAAGTTTTTCGACATGGTTCTTTAAGATGGCCGATCTCTCTGTTTGTTAGCCAATATATCTTCTACGTATGTTTTTGATTTTATGCTCTATCTTTGAGTTGCATCAGAGATTCGCATGATGTACTGCCTCATCCGCTTTCTAACCTATCTGTCCCTGTTCGCGTCCAGTTTGACAAACCGCCCACTTATCAACTTTATAACCTTTGCGGATTCAGAGCAGGAACCTATTTGTAGACGTTTCCGACTGTAGACCTCGAGGGCATGTAACTCCCAAACCAATACGAAATATCCGATCGTAGCTTTCATGCTTCGATTCTTACGTATGCATTAGGATTCTTCTCAGCTTGCGTTCGACATTTAGATGTAATTTCTCCTTAACACCGGTTGTACTACGTCTGTCTGCATGGCCCCATCTCGCCGAACGCGTTCGCCGCCCTATCCGTGAAGCAAGAAGAGCTAGTGAAGCGCTCAGCACTGTTATTCCCTCGCAAAGCTCCAATTGTTAATATATGCATGTCAACACACCAACTCACACGAATCGCGTTGTTTGCGCGACCGGAGTCTGGATGCAAGAAGAGGAGAGAAGGCCAACCGATGATTGGTCAAGAGGAACGAACGCTGTCACTTCGAACTTTGGCTAGGTTGGTGCTTCCTGACTCCTGCTTCAGGGCCCGAAGGACAAGGAACGCGTCTATTTATACCATTTTCACTTTAAACTGGACATTTTTCAAACCAAACTGGACATTTTGCAAACCAAAGTGCACATTTTGCAAACCAAAGTGGACATTTTGCAAACCACATTGGACATTTTGCAAATCAAACTGGACATTTTGCAAACCAAAGTGGACATTTTGCAAAACAAATTGGACACGTTGCAATCTAAGTAGCAACTCGCCAATTTGTTGGTAAGAAACGAGCAGTAAGACTGCTGAATGATGTTCAGCATATACATTGTGATGACGCTAATACACCGGCATTGTGTAAGCAGCGGACTACACTGTAAAACATTTGCTTGATCGTGAGCAGCGACCGAAGTTCTGAACTACGCTCCCCTCTCCCCATTGACATTCGCCTAGTTGGTGTGCAGTGCCCATACGCATCAACCTGTGTAGGTGTGTGACAATTGGAAAATCGGACGTCCGAATCGTAATTGTGTATCAATCATTTTGTGAGTGGATTGCGATGCGCAATCTCAATGTGCACCGTTATTCTCATTAGAGAGAACATTGTCCGATTCGGTCAATGGGACCATGTCGGATGAAGCAGGTAGGCGGTGTCCCAGCTTCGCCCGTCTCTCTATTAGCTTTCGCAACTGCCACGTTATTGTATCAGCGTAGGCTGTAATGACCCCCAGCAAAACCAGTCTATACCATTTCCGAGTCAAGTTAGTTAATAGAGGAAGCAAATTGGTTCGTAAGCATTTTCAACTTGGTTCGTAAGCATTTTCAACTTGGTTCATAAGCAGTTTCAAGTTGGTGCGTTTCAAAGTTTGGCTAAGATGCACACACGCACCGACGAGTA